ACTTGGCTGTACTGGGGTTCTTGTGCACTGAGGTAGAGGAGCAAATTATGAGCTTCGTTCCTGATAGCATGTCTGTAATTGTGGCTATTCATTAGCTATTGAGTAATGAAGTTATACCCAGTTTTTTTTTTAAAAAAAACTTAGGACGTATCTAATTGTTTTCATATTATGCTACGATCAATCAAAACTCATGTTAGGTATCAAAAAAATGGTTTCTTACTTGTCAATACAGCACCCGCAAAAATTTTGAAGGAAAATGTTACTAATAATAATCAAGTAGAGCAGTATGATGATACAAAGGTCAACATGAGTGAAACTTAAATACACCATCCTACTTCACAGTAATTAAGTTGATATGAACAACTTTCACAAACAGTTATTTCATTGGGGGTAAATATAATATATTATGAACTGAATTTCACATTGACCAAAATGGTGGACCAAATATAAAAATAAAGGCACCTATACAGGACTGATGGAACAAACAAACAATCAAGTCCCATGTTTCAAATTAAGTGGCAGCTATACAGGTTATATAGTAAATATAACACTATGAACTATCCTGTATTTATTAGTTATTACATATATGTTAATCACATTTCGATTGCACGTATGACACGCACATGTCTTGAAAAAATTCATAAACATCAGAGGAACAGTAATGTCATTTTTCTACAACTTTTCATCATCATTGTCCTCCCCCATTACATCATGTAAAGGCCAGCAGAGTGGAAATCAAGTCATCACGTTAAATTCAAAACACATCCATATTTAGTGCTCAGTTCATTAAAAAGATTTATTTTGATCTATAGCCAAGTAAGTGCAACCATACTCAGAGATACTACAAAAGGAATAAACAAATTATTCAACTGATGAAACAACTGTTAAAAAATATTAATTTTAAACAAAATATAGTATAAATTGTCCCCGTCAGCACAAATTGTTATAGCCCCCACGGAACATGATAGTGACTGGGGCTGCTTGTGTATCAAAAAATCAACAATTATATAGAGTCACCAACCTAAGTGTCAACATAGACACATTATATAGTCCTGAGCCAGCCTATGTTCCTAGTACCTATTGTCAAGAAACAAAGAAGAGAAGGATTACGGTACAAAATTATTCTTTGAAGGTTATGGTAAATGTGATTTGTGTCTGATTTAAGAGAATGCTGATGTGCAATTACATCTAATGGTATGGAATTACATGTTGCTCAAACTCAGCCACTGATCTTGACCTCTTGGTAGCGAAAACCAGCTCAATGACTAGCTCATTCTCAAGTGCAGATTCAGCCAAGCCTGAGTTGTCAGAACCGGACGCCACCCGAGTTCAGAGAAATGAGTTTAACATGCAAATCCTGCATTGCTCATAGGCTACCAAATTTCTTCAAAAACTCCAAGTGATTATAAGAAACAATGTAGGTTAACACTCCTAACTGAAAATTATGCATACTTTCTTTTCAGAAGAGGGCTCTTGGAAGGAAGAAGACGACATAAACAATATGTGGGACAAGATGGCAACCAATATTCGGAAAGTAGCCTCAGAGGTGTGTGGAGTAACCAAAGGAAGGGGACGCGAGGCTAAAGACACTTGGTGGTGGAACGAGGAAGTCCAAAGGGCTATTAAGGAGAAGAAAGAATGCTATAGACGCTTGTACCATGACAGGAGTGTGGACAACATAGAGAAGTACAAGGTGGCAAAGAAGACTGCAAAGCGAGCTGTAAGTGTGGCAAAGGGTAGAGCGTACGAGGATCTTTACCAACATTTGAGTACGAAGGAAGGAGAGAAGGACATTTATAGGATGGCTAGGGTTCGTGAGAGAAAGACACGGGACTTCAACCAAGTTAAGTGCATTAAGGATGAAAGGGAGCATCTCTTGGTAAAGGAGGATGAGATCCGACATCGATGGCAAGAGTATTTTGACAAATTGTTCAATGGTGAGAATATGGACACAACCTTTCAGTTGGATGACTCTTTTGATGACACCAATAGGCGCTTTGTGCGGAGAATCCAAGAATCTGAGGTCAGAGAGGCGTTGAAAAGGATGAAAGGAGGTAAGGCGATGGGACCGGATGGTATCCCAATCGAGGTGTGGAGATGCCTCGGGGACATAGCTGTAGTATGGTTGACCAAGTTGTTCAACCATATTTTTCGATCAAACAAGATGCCTGATGAGTGGAGGAGAAGTATATTGGTACCGATCTACAAGAATAAAGGGGATATTCAAAGTTGTACAAATTACCGGGGAATTAAGTTGATGAGCCATACTATGAAGCTATGGGAGAGAGTTATCGAGCATCGCTTGAGAGCAATAACGCGGGTCTCTATGAACCAATTTGGTTTCATGCCCGGAAGGTCAACCATGGAAGCCATTTTCTTAATAAGACAAGTTATGGAGCGGTATAGGGAGAAGAAGAAGGACCTACACATGGTTTTTATTGACTTAGAGAAGGCTTATGATAAAATACCAAGGAATGTTATGTGGTGGGCTTTGGACAAACATAAAGTCCCAACGGCACGTCCGGGCTCATTAAGGACATGTACAACAATGTTGTGACTAGAGTTCGAACAAGTGATGGAGACACGGATGACTTCCCGATTAGGATAGGACTACATCAAGGGTCAGCTTTGAGCCCTTATTTGTTTGCTTTAGTGATGGATGAGGTCACAAGGGACATACAAGGGGACATCTCTTGGTGTATGCTTTTCGTGGACGATGTAGTGCTAGTTGATGAAAGCCGGACATGAGTGAATCGGCTGGAGTTATGGCGGGAGACTTTGGAGTCCAAAGGTTTTAGACTTAGTAGAACTAAAACTGAGTATATGAGATGTGACTTCGGCACTACTACTCGGGAGGAGGAAGATGTTAGTTTGGAAGGTCAAGTAGTGCCTAGGATGGATACCTTTCGATATTTAGGATCAATGCTACAGAGGGATGGAGATATTGATGAAGATGTTAGCCATAGAATCAAAGCAGGGTGGATGAAGTGGCGGCAAGCGTCCCGTGTCCTATGTGACAAAAGGGTACCACTGTAGCTAAAAGGCAAGTTTTATAGGACAAATGATTAGACCTCACTATGTTGTATGGTGCGTAATGTTGGCCTCTGAAAAGACGACATATTCAATGGCCTAAGTGTCGCGGAAATGCGTATGTTGCGTTGGATTTATGGGGCATACAAGAAGGATCGAGTTCGAACGATGATATACGTGAGAGATTAGGGGTAGCGCCAATTGAAGAAAAGCTTGTCCAACACCGGTTGAGATGGTTTGGACATGTGCAACGGAGACCTTCAGATGCACCGGTGCGTAGTGGAATCCTAAGTCGATAGTAACGTGAAGAGAGGCAGAGAAGACCGAAGTTGACTTGGGTAGAGGCAATAAAAGGAGACTTGAAAGGATGGAATATACCCAAAGACTTAGCCTTAGATAGGAATGCTTGGAAGACAACTATTCACGTGCACTCGAACCTCGATTGTTTCACATTGGGTTTCAACTCTAGCCTACCCTAACTTATTTGGGACTTAAAGGCTTTGTTGCTGTTGTTGTTGTTTCTTTTCAGAAGAGGCCCTGACAGCGGCGTGCTCATTAGCAGCCTCCTTATCCTCCTCTGTTTCATCCCCAAAAAGATCAAGGTCATCATCATCCTCAGCCTGTAGAGAATTAAAAGCTTACTACAACAAAGATAATTCAGCAGCATAAAAAATGTTCAACCAATGAGCGTCAATCGTAGCATGGCAGTTGGTAGAAATAAACTGTTAATAAAATTGATTAATGGTATAGATATATCAGTGTGGCAGAGATCTGAACCTTGTTGCCTTCAGTATCGTGTGGCCTGTTATAGAATCACGTATATGCCAATCCCTATGCATTCCATTTTTACCATTAGCACTAACCCATGTATCTACTTCAACTGTGTCACCCCAACAGCAGAATAGAGGAGCGACTTAGAACACATAAGAGTAGAACCCAGATGATGAGGGATGACCTTTAGTTAACAGAAGGTAAACTTTCTAGTATCTGTTAGTTACCATAGGAAAATGTACCAAGACTTCAAGAGGTTCAGTGTGTGTATCTGCATCAATAATAGAGGTCCGCAAACTGCCTACAGTGACATACAACTATATATAGGCTCCTTTTGCTAAAAAACTATATAGGCTCCTCCAAAAAGTTATTGTCAAACACTGCAAAAGACGCCAGGGAGCTTTCCTTTCACATTTATTGCCGAACAACTTGAAAACCCCATTCAACTAATCAGTCACTACCCCTTCTCACGTTTGAGAGAGGAGAGAAGAATGACAGAATAATTTATTTTTTTTAAAAAAAGAAGGATAGCAAGTACTACAGGTGTCATTCGTACTAGGCCAAGGCGCAAGTGAGAGTGCGTGAATAAACACTTCATGACATCAAGCATTAGAAAACAAACCATAAGAAACAAAAAAACAAACCACAAGAAACAGAGACTAGTAAAAAAACAAATCATAAGAAACAAATCAAACATATGGCATATGAAGGCTCCTCCAAAGCTGTCGTGTTTTATTGACCGTACTGTACTTGTACAGGTTATTTCATGAACAGAACATATAACATCAATCAATACGAGAAAAATATCAAAGACTACACACCCTTGGCTCGTACAAATGCAATAACAGCACATAATACACCCGTATCTCTTGTCTATACCCACCTTATTGGTATCTTATCTCTCAACAGCTGGCAGGTTGGCTATCTGTTTATCAGGTAGTACGACTGAATGTTATCAAACCTAATATTACAGCTCCTGCCTACATGATTGCTCAAACCCGATATTAGCCTACATGATTCCTCAAACCCGATATTACATCTCCTGGCTACATGATTCAGTTGCAGTTCACAGTGTTCAAAAATATCATTCCCTACCCAGTAGCAGAAATGTTCCTAACTTCATTCCATAATTAGTGGGACCAATGTCTAATGCAAGGAAATAACATGATGAAAAATAAAGTACAAATGGTGCAGAGCCATCAGGTGGCTTCCCAGCAAGCTTCCTTCAGGCATCCTTCCTCCCCCAGAGGCCCACACCACATCAAGCTAACAGCCCAAGCATCAATCATGATTGCTTCACGGCATGGGAACATCGAGGATTCCCATGAGAATTCCACTGAAGAAGCATCCATATGATTGACGTTCCTATATAAATAAATCAGAGAACTGATCAGAGTGGCTAAACAAACAACCAAGACAAAAGAAGCATCATTACAGGTACTCCTTCATGATTTCAGATTTAATTACCACCTATTCTAGTCATTTGTCAAGCTACACATGCAACATGCATGATAAGCTCCAATGCTATTTTGCAAGATTGAAAGCTGGAAACTTGGAACTGATAAATGCTATATTGCATCGTTAAAACTGCAAAAGTAAAGTACTGACATCAAATGAATATTTCGATTAAAGTACCAGATAATCAACCTAGCTGTAACTGTAACAAGTGCGATAGTAAAAAGGCTGACTAGGTTCTGAAGAATTAATTTGTAAAAGGTGAATGAAAACAATGGTCCACTCACAAGGAAAGCTTAGTACCTGCAAAGAAGCCAACTGTGCTCAGATTTGTTGCAGCCATGGTGTGGTATATCAAGTATTCCGTGAGGAAATGACCAAGAGCGTAGATGAATGATAGGAAGGTGGCCAGATACAGAGGCCTGTTTTCTAGGTTCAGTGCACAAAGGAAGCACAGCGTGCAGGTCAGAAGAGTCCAGACACCAAAAGTACGGCCATGAACATCAGTCACTGCATATAAACAATGTTTTGTTAATCAAACTAGTAATAAAAGGCCAAGGTTTTTAACAAAGGATGGCACATAACCAGGAACTAGTAATTCAGCATGAGGAATAATTTGGAATTTCCAAAGCATTTGATTCCATAGAATGGCCATATTTGCTGGAAGTATTGACCGTTCTGGGCTTCAGTACAAAATGGCGGAACTGGATTTCGCAATACTAGGGACCTCATCATCCAAAATCCTCATAAATGGAAGGCCAAGTCGGAGTATCTCACATGCTAGGGGCCTTAGACAAGGCAACCCGCTGTCGCCATTCTTGTTCGTTATAGCCATTGATCCACTACAGAGAATAATAGAAAAGGTGGTGCATCAAGGCATTCTACAACCGTGTTACCCAAAGCGGCAAAAAGCTGTGGTGCTCTTTATACGTGGATGATGCAGCCCTATTTGCAAATCCAACAGCAGCTGAGCTCAGCAGTTTACAGAAAATGCTACACTTCTTTGGAGATAGCTCAGGTCTCAAGGTTAACATGAACAAGACGAAAATATTCCCGATACATCTTCAGGCTGATTTGGTCCCTGCTCTCATCACCAATTTCCCAGGGAAAATCGGTTCTTTCCCAGGAAAATATTTGGGGCTCCCACCCATACCAGGAAGCTAAGGAAAATTGAGGTGCAGCCGCTTGTAGACAAGGTTGGAGCAAGATTACCAGGTTCGAAAGGTAAATTTTTTACAACGGCTGGAAGGGAGACTCTAGTAAAAACAGTGCTATCATTGATACCGATCTACCATTTCACAGTTTTTCATGGGCACAAAGGGTACTCAAAAGAATTGATAGGCTCTGGCGCAGTTTTTTATGGCGAATGCGAAACACCAGAAAATGTCAGCGGAGGCCATTTGTTGATCAATTGGCCCACTACATGTCTACCAAAGGAAAAGGGAGAAATCGGCATCATGGAATTAGAAAGATTCACAAGGGCTCTGCGATTAAGATGGTTGTGGTATAGGTGCAAGCAAAAGGAGAGAGCCTGGAGTAATCTGGAAGTCCCTTGCGACAAAACCGATCATGAACTTTTCAACGCCACAACCATAGTAAAGATAGGAGATGGTAAAACAGCATTATTTTGGTCATCATCATGGATAAATGGAACTTCGGCAAAAAGGATCGCGCCCAGCTTGTTCAAGAAGACGCGCAGGAAAAAGATCACGGTACAAAAAGCGTTACACAACAACAAATGGATCGACCACATTTATCCTCCAAGCACACAGGAGGAGATCTCAGACTTCGTTAATCTATGGGAGGCAATCAAGGATACATCTTTGGACGATCAGGTTGAGGCCGACATAAAATGGCGTTGGACGCCAAGTGGGGAGTACACAACCAAAAGTGCCTACAAAATTCAGTTCGAGGGGACCTTTACTAAGATGAGAATAACGCCAATTTGGAAGGTGAAAGCTGAGCCAAAGTGCCGCTTCTTCGCCTGGACTTTGCTACACAAGAAGATCCTCACGGCAAACAATTTAATGAAATGAGGTTGGTCGGATGACCCTGTTTGCAAATTGTGCAGAAATAATCTGGAAACTCCAGCCCACCTCTGGAAAGACTGCCTGTTTGTGAAGGAAGTCTGGGAGCTTGTGAAACAGTGGACTGTTACAACGGATATCAGCAGTTCAGCACAGTTAGCTCATCCGGGTCACTGTATAAATTCTGGAGGAGATGCAGAACAAAGGTGGATAAAAGTAGGAGAAGAAATTTCGAAGGAATTATAATCTACTTTTGGTGGAACATTTGGAAAGAGAAAAATTGGAGAACTTTCCAACAACAAGCTCCAAATCCAAGACAGGCTGCAATTTTATGCAAAGATAAGCCATGTTCGCTTGTCTTATAATTCGTACTTTTCAGCTTGTTTTTTCAGTCGGAACAAAGTATTTTTCTCCCAAGAACAAATCAGTCAAGCAGTATTTTCACCATGGCTTATCTCGCTGCTTTTAACGGCGAAGCACGGCAGCAATAGAGACAAGTCTTCATTTTGCGTTTACAGAGTTATTCTCAGGACCGTGTTGCCTTCATCCCCTTTTTTCGGCTCGGTTTTCAGTTTGTGTTCAGTTGTCTTTATTTTTTTCAGTTGGGCAGGTCCAGGTTCATGAAGTCGTCTCTGTAAATTCAGTTTTCATTTTCTTTTCTATCGTCTAATAAAATCTACGGCAAAGCTTTTACCGTACATTCTAAAAAAAATAATTTGGAATGGAGAGAGTACAAGTAAAAATCAGGGTAGAGACCATTCTCAGTCCTGGTCAGTCGTACTGGCTTTTCTGAAGGGTCCACCAGTGGACTCCACTCGGAATACTCGCGAAGCTCAAACTCACGAATCCCGCGGGAAGGAGACACAGAGGCCTCCTTGTTGGATCTCCAAACCTTCATCAAGAAGGCGCGGCACAGATCAGGCTATAACCGCGACCGGGTGAGATGAGATCCGTACCCCCCACACGGATCGACCCTGTCCAGGCGAACGAGAGGCAGAGGGGGGAAGAAGTGAAGCGGGAGGATGCGAGGGGGGCACTCACTCTCCGTCTGCGAGAAGACGGCGACGCGGAGCGCCCAGATGTCGAAGAAGCCGAACCAGACGGAGGCGAGGCGGAGGAGCCGACCAGCATCAGCCACCACCCTAGCGCCGGGACGCCCTTCCTCTTCCCCTCAGCCGCCATTCCCCCGTTGGAATTGGAATGCTTCCACTTCCACTTCCACCGGTGAGCGCTGAGCAGCGTGGAATGGATGCAGCCGGCGGAGAGCACGAGGACTCGAGGCTGTGAGGTCTGACCTGAGAGGATGATGCGCGCCTGATGACAACCAAATGGGCCTGGCCCTTTTGGATGGTTCAGAACTGGGCTTGTGGGTCATGCTGGATTACGGGCCGACACACAGCACTCGTATTTCTCTAAAACAAACACTCTGTATCTTCTTAAAAACACTGGAATGAGTTCCTATAAAAAAACACTGGAATGACACATTTGAAATCGGAGAAAATACAGATAATACATTGTATTGTACTGACAAATTTCATGTCAAATGGGAAATGGCAGCATCTTATTCTGTCCTAGCAACGTAGCAAAGCCCTTCACATCTCGGACGAAAAAGAAAAACAAAAGCTAATCGCTTGTGAAATCTTCAAAGCAAATGTAGGCGACCAGCGTTAATATTTGGCTATTTGCTATATGAAATGAATAGTATAACTTTTTTTACAAATAAATATTACTAGGTACTCCCTCCGTTCCAAATTATAAGTCACTTTGGACTTTTCTAGTTCATAGAATTTGCTATGTATCTAGACATATATTATATCTAGATACATAACAAAATGGATGTACCAAAACTCAAAGCGATTTATATTTTAGAAGAAGTATTATGTTCCAAAAGGATACAACTCTAGTTCTTTTCTTAATCAAACTATTTAAAATTTAACTAAACTTACAAAATACATATCAATATCTATAGCATCAAATTAGTATACAATGAAAATATATTTCATAACAAATTTAATAATATTTATTTGATATCTTAAATATAGATGTTTTTTTTATAATATTAGTCAAACGATAGATATTTTGACGATACTACTAAAGTTGCTTTTAAGGAGTAATAACCTAATGTCATGTGAGGCCAAATTTTACCCAACTATTAGGTCCTCTCTCTTGTAGGCGACCACAAAATAGAGCCCTTCGAAAAAGAGTCTTTTCTGCACAGGGTGGGGCTATTTGACAAATGCAAATGTCGTATCTGCGTGACACACGAGATGCCTTTTAGCACAATTTTCCCTTGACCATCTCTAAACGACAGATTTAAAAAGTTTTTCTGACAATTCACGTTGTCACGTGTGCATTGGAAAAACCCGCTCCTGCAACAAGTCCCATGCAGAGCCAGCGTGAGGTGGTTATAGAATTAATACAGTATTGTATATCCAAAAGTTCACAAATGGAAAAAATTATGTTGGGAATTTGGGGTAATTTACTTGAATAGAGGGTTGTCAAAAATTGGGCAGGCAACTTCGTTCGGTAGAATTATAGGATCCTAAAAGGAACTAGTATGGCTATGGCGACCAATTGTTAGATATTATAGCTTAAAACACAGGATCTATCATTAGTTCACAACTAGGACATCTAACAAGATTTAGTACTCAGTATATATCATGGCCGTGGTTTGTTATCTTGAATCAGTGTCTTACAGTTACCTGTGGAATGAAGTTCAACGGAGCTTTATTTGTTGGTGGTGCAATGTTCGGCGATCATTGACTTGCCTCCGTCCAGGAGTACGTTGTGGCTTTGTTGTTTTTCCTTGTGGTTGTTAGTGATTGTTCTCCTCTTTGTACGTGGTGTTGTGTTGTGTTGTGTTGCTGTTTGTACTCTCTTTCTCGGCTTTCTTGCTTGGTAACCTTGGGCTTATAACCTAACAATATAACTACCATTACCGGCTTTTGTCAGAATCTATGGTAATGAAATTCAGGTGGGGATAGTTCATCCTCTAGTGATCCTTTCCAAAAAAGGATATCAGATGTTGCAACAGCCTGTTCTTAAGGTGTCATCGCATCAACCAGGTGAGCAGTGGCATCCTACGACATTTGTCAATGTATTCGGGTAATTTTAGTCGGAAAATTCAGGGCAAGTCTGAGCATTTTTGGAAAGCCCGAGCTGAATGAGATATTGTAATGTGGGAATTTAATTTCTGGTGGGAAAATAAGTGGAGGTCAAAGATGGCATTTAGAATTTGGACGGAAGAGCGTGCAGAGATCAACTCAATGTTCATTTCAAAACTCTCAAAGGTGGAGTATACTCGTACTCGTACTCAGTGTTCATTTCAAAACCTGTTCGCTTCGTTGAAAAAGCCAAGCTAAAAAGTTTTATTTGCTGATTTGTTGTAAGAGAAAAATACTGTACCATGGCTAATAAGTCATGCTGATAAGTTTAAGCGAACAGAGCTTAAGAACATCTCCAAGAGACAATTTTTATGGAGTGGCTAGCCAAATGAAGTTATGGAGTGTGGAATTTAGAATGTCTCTCGGAGATGCTCTAATAATAATATAGAATATAGAATTCATTCTTGGTCATAAGCTTCATACAGTATGAGCGCCGATGGACACACCGGCTCCTCTCCTCTATGCCATGCACCGAATTCCAAACAAGCAAAGATGCTGATGGCCGGCGAGTGGAGTGGAGTTTACTACGCACGTCAAAACAAGCAAGCACGTATGGCGTGGAGATGGCACGGACGCAGCAGCTCTGGACTGCACGGAGATGCAATGCAATGCAGTGCAGTGCAGTGCAGGCACCTGATCTGACTTGAGAGAGCTGAGCTGGACTGATGAGTGTTGAGTGAGCAGCAGCAGTGCGGGCAGCCTAGCTATGCTTGTCAGCATTGATAGGATTAGACAGGTCGACAGACAGAGCAGGGCACAGGCTGCATTGACTGACGGCACGGCAGGCAGTGGCATGGCAGGACGTACGATATGGCACTGTGCTGCTAGCCTGCTACTGGTGAGGCCGGCGACGTACTGGCTGGGAGCCGCCCGTGGCTGGGCATGATCCGTCCAGCTTGAGCTGTATCGTGTTTGCTCGCTAATTCTGTTCTAACGGGCGGAGCGGATCTCTGGCTGGTGGCTGGCCTGCCTGACTCTCAGCTCAGGTCCTCCACCACTGGCTTCAGGAATTCAGACTTTCAGAGGCAATTTGCAATGGCACTGCACGGTCTACACCCAGACCCAGCAGGCGATCGAGCACATTTCAAGTTTCATCAGACGTTGAGTGCGCAGGTGCAGTGCAGCAGCTAGCGTAGCACGAGTAGTAGGAGTGCAGTGCATTGCATGGCTCCATTCGCAGGGATAGTATTAGTAGAGTATTTTATTACCCTATATACTGCTTGGTATATTACGGGGCCGGTATATTATTGCTGTTAAACTCATTCAGTTCAGTTGAGGTGAGGATAATGCTGGGCAGCGCACTTGCTTCAGAGCTCACGCATGCAAACGACGACTGGTGCGCCTATCGGCATCTGGACGGCCGACAGGACCTTGCAATCCCCTAGATCAGCTGCAGCAGTGGTGGACAGAACCTGTCGGCAGCTGGAGGGCCGACAGGACCTTGCAAATTCCCTAGAACAGTAGCAGCAGCAGCAGTAGGCCAGTGGCTCATCCGGCTTCCCGGTTGCTGCAACCTTTTGCTTGCACTGTGAGGCTGTGACCGTGAGCTCTCCAGTCCAGCTCTCGCTCGTCGTCGTGTTGGCGTTTTGCAGCGACGTCGTAGGAGGAAGACGAGAAGGAAGGGCAGGAAGCAATGCTTCGCATTGCACTGGAGTTAATAAAATGCATGCATGGGTCATGGGGGGGGTGCGGCCTTGATCGGATTAGACAGGACGTTGTATGTAAAGTACTCCTGCTCGCTCTTGCACCGCATTGCATTCATCTCTCTCTAGTCAAGATCCGAATCTTGTCTCCCGGCCGACACTAACGCATGACACCGAGTTAAGTGACCCCATTAATCCATATTTATTCATTCAAAACCCTTTAAGACATAAGTACACCGTACATCCTCACTCGTCCTAAGATAAACGCACGTCTCACCTCACCGTATGGTCTACTTTAAAAGATCCAAGCTATTATAGCTCCAGCTACTGCAGTCTATAAAAGAATTAAGCTGATGCAAACATGGCCATACTCTATTTGAGGGATAATGCAAGTTTTAAGTTAGAGCCTGCGCGCTGCCATCGCGCGCCACGCCACACTTTATGGCCGCCACAGCTCCCGAGGGTTATGTTTGGTTGGTGATTTATCTTGGCGCCATAGCTTTTCACAGATCGGGATTCTCGCCACAGAAGTGGCGTCCGAAGAACCCGCCACACAGTAAGTGTGGCGCCAGCCAGAGCTGGTGCGGCCGAGTGTGGCTATAATCCAAACATCCCCATGACTCCTTTTTAGCAATATATATACTCCCGATTACAAATGGATGGAATGCGGCTCTAGGCGTGGAAATAAGTCAAATTTTCTTACATACTCCCTCCGTCCTAAAGAAAAGTGTCTCTATGGGATTTTTGCTCGTTAACTTTCTTAAGTTTAATTAGATTTATATAAAAAAAATATTAGCAATATTTATATCTCCAAATAAATTTATTATGGAAATATATTCAACGATTAATCTAATGATACTAATTATGCATCCTAAGTATTAATATTTCTTATATATATTTGGCCAAAGTTAATAACGTTTGACTTCTACAACGGTGAGAATTACACTTTTTATGGGAATGAGGAAGTAAGTTTGATAAGTTCATAGACATTTTTTTTTGTCTCCAAATAGTTTTCTTACAAAAATATACTTTTGTCTAATGATGCTTATTATTATATAAAGTAACAAAATGCAAATCCATTCGTCGTAGCCTTAAGCAAAACACTAGCTTATTGATTAAGTAGCACATCTCCTCATTAAACTCGCTAACAAGTCGCTAAGAAAAGCAATGGATAGAGCCACACAAGACATAGCAGGCTACTTCTACTACTATATATCCACATCCACATTGCAAGCAACTGGATCCGTCGACAACGAATGCAAGACATCATCACGTTGCAAGACAAGACGTGCTCTGATCGATCCGTGTATGGACAAATGACGCATGCATGCCCATCAAGCTAATAGAACAAAAGCTCCGCTGCTGCCATCACCCT